AAGGACTCTTAATTACATATCTCAAAATCAAGAATAACTATATACCTCACCATGAATACTTTGTCTTTTGACAGATACTTGAGACAAGATAAAACTGACATACAAGTCTTATGAGAGTCCTGTCCTGTCTTATGAATCTTATAATAAGACTCCGAGAAATCCTGAGATTTCATACCATGGACTGACAGAGGCACGAGAACCAGACCTCAACATTTTCCAGGTTTAAATCTTTCTCAAGGTCTATTTGTCTTCAATTCCATGAAAATGTTTTCAGCATCAGGTAAAGGAGTTCTAAATCAGGGAAGCCTTTCTGGTAAAGTAGGTTTCCTTCATAATCTGTAAGGCCATTTGACTAGTCATCCCCCAACTGACAACAATACAAAGAGGCAGAGAGATGATGCAATGCATAGAACACGGGGTCTGAAGTCAGGAAGACCTGAGTTTAAATTCTGCCTCAGACATTTACAAACCATGTGACCTTGGGCAAATCACTTAAATCTGTTTGTCTTAAGTTTCCTCAACTATAAAATGGGGATAATAACAGCAACTACTTCAGAATTGTTGTGCAAATCAAATGAAATATTTGTAAAGCTCTTAGAACAGTGCCTGTAATAGAGTAGGTGCTATATAAATGCTTAACCCTTCCCCTCCCCACAACAGTATTAAGGACTTGAGGGTGGAGAAGGGGAAAGAGATGGAACTAAAAAGGTACTACTACATTAAGAAGAGGCCCTAGATAACTACATTTGTACAGTGGAATATAGTTTGTTCAAAACAGAATATGTGGCCTTCAAGATTCCTTCCAACTTTGAGATTCTATGCTTCCACAGTGAGGAGTCGGGGGGAAAGGGGACAGGAGGTGTAAATAGGGAACTCTGAATAGAATGGAAAACCACTAAGCATGTTACTATACACAAAATACTTTAAGATCATATGATAAATTTTCTTTGGAATGTTATTTTTTTTCTCAAACTATCAGTCCCTAACTATTACATAAGGATCTAATGGTAGGTTTCATAGCCTTAAAGTAGACTTCAGAGTTGGCTGATCCACTATGCTCTACTCTCCAAGATTCATTGGTTTTCCCAGGGTGGAGACCACTTGAGTTAATAATGATACCTTTTCTCTTTTTTTCCTACACTCTGATCAAGAACTTTATTGCCAGTGAACACCCATCTCAACCCACACATAAACATTCAAAGTTTGTTCTTATTCATCCACTTCTGTTGTCCCCTCGCCTCAATGGCTTAAGAAATATGTGAAGTTGGGGGCAGAGCTAAAATAGGGGAGTAAAGGCAGGAATTCCCCTGAGCTCTGCCCCAAACCCCTCTAAATACCTTTAAAAAATGACTCTAAACAAACTCTAGAGTAGCAGAATCCACAAATAAGACAGAGTGAAACAAAATTACAGCCCTGGAAGGCTGACAGGAAAAGTCTGTTGCACTAGGCTGAGAAAGAAGCGTAGTCCAGCACAGAGAGTACCAGCATAGACCAGGACCCAGCAAACCCGGAGCAGGCCTCAACGGACTGAATCACTGGCAGCAATGGCAGTTTCCAGACTTCTCAGCCAACAGACTCGAAAGACAATGTAGAAGGTTAGCAGCAAAGGTCTGCTGGACCTGGGTGAAGGAGGAGCACAGTCCAGAGCAGGCTGCACCAGCACAGTCCTGACAGCGCCAGCATAGTCCAGGCCCCAGCAAACCAGTCAGGCTTTGGGAGTGACTGAATCAGTTCCAACAGTGACTGCTTCTGGAGCTCTCAACCCACAGATGATAAGGGGATCAAACAACTGGTCAGGAGATTTCAGGGGTCTCTTTGCTAGCACTGAGGCAGGAGTCTGTTACTTGGATCTGGGTTGCAGTCTTCAGTAGCAGTCCTGGGGCGAGGAAAGGCACTGGAATAGCAGAGCTTGTGACAGCAGCGGAGAGGGAACCCTCCTCACAGTTCCAGGGCAGAAAAGAGTACTTGTGATTACTCACAGACCAGATCATAGGCCAGGAGAGGAGTAAACACCTATCCTTAGATCATACCACCTTGGCAGAACTGAAAACTTACAGGTCCCTAGAAGTATCACTGAAAACAGCTGCACAAAAACCCCTGAAGCTTGGGACAGTGCACCCTCCACACTGGAAGCAGAGCACTACCTTAGCAAAGAGTTAAAAAGTCAAGTAATAGGCTAGGAAAATGAGCAAAGAACAGAAAAAAACTCAGACTATAGAAACCTACTTTGGTGACAAGGAAGATCAAAACATACACTCAGAAGAAGACAACAAAATCAAAGCTCCTAATTCAAATTGGTCTCAGGCCATGTAAAAGCTCAAAAAGGATTTTGAAAATCAAGTAAGAGAAGTAGAGGAACAATTGGCAAGAGAAATGACAGTGATGCAAGAAATTCATTGGTAAAGGAGACTTAAAAAAATACTGAAGAAAATAACAGCTTAAGAAATAGACTAGATCAAGTAGCAAGAGGTCCACAAAGCCAATGAAGAGAAGAAGGCCTTAAAAAGCAGAATTGGCCAAATAGAAAAGTCCAAAATCTCACTGATGAAAATAAATCCTTAAAAATCAGAATGGAACAAATGGAAGCTAATGCCTCTAAGAAATCAAGAAATTATAAAACAAAACCAAAAGAATGAAAAAATGGAAGAAAGTATGAAATTTCTCATTGGAAAAACAACTGACCTGGAAAATAGATTCAGGAGAAATCATTTAAAAATTATTGGACTACCTGAAAGCCATGATCAAAAAAAGAGCATGGACATCATCTTTCAAGAAATTATCAAGGAAAACTGCCCTGATATTCTAGAACCAGAGGGTAAAATAGAAATGGAAAGAATCCTCCCCAATTGATAAATGGTCAAAGAACATGAATAGCCACTTTTCAGAGGAAGAAATCAAAGCTATCTATAGTCATGAAAAAATGTTCTAAATCACTACTGATTAGAGAAATGCAAACAGCTCTGAGGTACCACATCACACCTATCAGATTGACTAACATGATAAAACAGGACAATGATAAATGTTGGAGCAGATGTAGGAAAACTGGAACACTAATGCATTGTTGATGGAGTTGTGAACTGATGCAAACATTCTGGAGAGCAATTTGGAACTATGCCCAAAGGGCTATAAAATTGTGCACACCCTTTGACCCAGCAATGCCACTTCTAGGTCTGTATCCCAAAGAGATCATAGAAATAGGAAAAGGATCCACATGTACAAAAATATTTATAGCAGCTCTTTCTATGATGGCAAAGAATTGGAAATTGAGGGATGCCAATCAATTGCGGAATGGCTGAACAAGTTGCAGTATATGAATGTAATGGAATACTATTGTGCTATAAGAAATGATGAGCAGGCCAACTTCAGAAAAACCGGGAAAGACTTGCAAGGACTGATGCTGAGTGAAATGCTATCCACATCCACAGAAAGCACTTTGGAATCTGAATGCAGATGGAAGCATACTATTTGCTCTGCTTTTCTTTTGTTATTTTGTTTTGTTTCTTCTTTCTCGTTCCTCCCATTAGTTCAAATTGTTCTTTACATCGTGACTATTGTGAAGATATGTTCAATATAAATGTATAAGTAAAGCCTATATCATATTGCACACCATCTTGGGGAGGGGGGAGGAGAGGATAGGGGCGAAAATTCAAAACTAAAAATCTTATGGAAGTGAATTTTGAAAACTAAAAACAAAATTATAAAAAAATAAAATCTTATGGAAGTGAATACTGAAAACTAAAAATTAATAAATAAATTTAATAAAAAATATTTTTAAAAAGAAAAGTAATTGAAAGAATCCACCGATCACCTCCTAAAAGAGTTCTCAAAAGGAAAACTCCCAGGAATATTATAGACAAATTAGAGAGTTCCCAGGTCAAGGACAAAATATTGCAAGCAGTCAGAAACAATTCAAAGTACTGTGGAACCACAATCAGGATAGCACAAGATTTAGCAGCTTCTACATCAAAAGATTGAAGGCCTTGAAATATGATATTCCAGAGGGCAAAGGAGCTAGGATTACAACCAAGAATCACCTATCCAGCAAAACCAAGTATAATCTTTTAGGGGAAAAATGGATATTCAATGAGATAGAGGAATTTCATACATTCTTGAGGAAAGACCAGAGCTAAACAGAGAATTTGACTTCCAAATACAAGACTCGAGAAGCATGAAAAGGTAAACAGGAAAAAGAAATCATAAGGGACTTATCAAAGTTAAGCTATTTACATTCCAACATGGAAAGATGATATTTGTAACTCATAAGACCTTTCTCATTATTAGGGTAGCTAGAAGAAGTATATATAGACAGAGGGCACAGGTGTGAGTTGAATATGAAGGGATGATATCTAAAAAATAAAATAAAGGGGTGAGAGGAATATACTGGGAGAAAGACAAAGGAAAAGGTAGAATGGGGTAAACGATCTCACATAAAAGAGGCAAGAAAAAGCTTTTACAGTGGAGGGGAAGAAAGGGGAGGTGAGAGGAAATGAGTGAACCTTACTCTCATCAGAACTGGCTTAAAGAGGGAATAATATGCACACTCAATTGAGTATAGAAATCTATCTTACCCTACAACAAAGTAGGGGGAAGAGGATAAGAGAAGACTGGGATGATAGACAGAAAGGCAGATTGGAGGAGGGGGTAATCAGAAGCAAACACTTTTGAGAAGGGACTGGTGAAAAGAGAGAACAGAATAAGTGGGGGGCAGGATAGGATGGAGGGAAATATAGTTAGTCTTTCACAACATAACTGTTATGGAAGCGTTTTGCATAACTACACACATATAACTTAGAGCGAATTGTTTACCTTCTCAATGAGAGTGGGTGGGGAGGAAGGAAGGGAGAGAATTTGCAACTCAAAGTTTTAAAAACAAATGTTAAAAATTCTTTTTACATGTAAATGGGGAAAAAATAAAATACCAAATAACAATTTAAAAAAAGAAATATGTGAAGTCATTTCATTTCATTAAAAAGAACAACTACTATACTATATATGTGTACCTTTGGAGGTCAAAGTTTCTTCCTTTATTTGTTTTACAGCCTCTTGACCTTGTCTCTCATTATTTCCAGCTTTAAAAAAAAAGAAAGAAAGATTCAAATTAGTATGGAACCCATCACCAAACTATTAAAAGAGTCCGAAACATATGATCCCTGTACTTCTTTTGAATCTCTACTGTCTACTCTTAGACAAAGATGTCTTCTACTATGTTTGGTATTTCCCACCATTGTTGGCATTATACCCTTTCTGTGAAAAGCAGTTCTCTTTAATCCTAGAATATCTAAAGCTATTTAAGTATTGCTCTCTGTAGTTTTTAAAGGGTTTTCTCTTTCTCTGGCCATAGAAGGCAGTAAAAAGCAAAACAGGTTTGTCTTTGAGGGGTTTCTCTGTATCAGGCCATAGATGGCAATAGAGAGCAAGGCAGCTTTTCCCATAGCCAGCTCTTCACCTAGGATTCTGTTTTCCTCCAATCATCTCTATCAAACATCAGAGGTTTCCTCCAAGCAGATCACCTCCCCACATTAACAGCACAAGTTCTCCTCAACTGGTTTCAGTTTTCAGGCACTTGGCTTTTCAGGCCTATTGACTTCACTTTTTTGTGTTCTGGTTTCTGATGTCTCTGCTTCTGTTTCTTAGTGATCTCTCTAATCCCTCTTCAGTACCTGGCTTCTTTGCTCTCTGATTGCTGATATTTTGATCTGGCTTCTGTGTCTCAAATCAGAGTCCCCTGATGTGTAGTGAGCCATTTCTAACTTCAACTGGGAAACTAAAAATCCATATTCTTGACATATATGACACAAGTCCCCTAATCCCTAGATCATTCTTTGATTCAGAGTTTCCCAAAAATAAACTCCAAAGTATTGAAAACAGTCACATTCAAATTAGGTAGTAGGAAACAATACACTACAGACATCTCTAATATCAGTGACTATTTTTGCCTCTCAGTTTCTCATCTCTCTTTTTAAAAAAAAAATCAATTCTATTTTATTTTCAGTAGTACTTTTATTGCATGGGTTGTTTTCTCTCAGGTCCTTAGAATATCTTTCACCTTAAACAGCTTTTCTCTGAGATTCTCATACAAATGTCTGCTTAGCCTAATATCTGGCACATAGCAAATGTTTAATAAATGTTTGTTGACCTTTGGTGCTCCCTTTCAATCAAATAAAATGACCACATAAGAAAGAGGTAGTATTTTACAAGTTAAAAAAAAATTTTGATGAAACTTGTTATTTCATTGGTATAGGGAAATCACAGTGGAACTAGAGGAAGTCCCTTTCCTCTACCAATGCAGAGAAGCACCTGCTCCATAACTCAATGTCTTAAAGAGTTGCTGGGGGAGTTACCTGGAACCTGCCTAGAACACATAATCAGTATTTAGTAGAGACAATCAAGTCTTCTTCACTCTGCAGCCAGCTCTACCTGTTGCAGCATACTAACTCTTAATAAGCAAAATAACATGCTGGTACACAATCCTTCTTTTGTCCTTTTGCTGTTTAATACATCAGAGCACCTACATCTCTGATAAAGTTGTCAATTTAAGTAACAAATATTAACCAAGCAAATTTTAAAAAGATCTTTTGCATTATTCAAGAATATGTTTATGTTCATTTCTTCATGGATAAAACAATTTTGCAGTACCATACTAAGATAAAATCAAATATTTTCATACACACACAAACTAAAAATTGTTCAGTCATTTTCAATTGTATCTGACTCTGAGCAGAAAAAAGCATAGTAAGAAAATTTAGGACAATATTTTTTTCTCATTATTTGACCAAATGCTCAAAGTCCAAATACATTTTTTGGATAGTAAAAAATCATCTCAGAATTTGTAACTTCACTAAAAGTGATCTTGTAAAAGCCTTATAAAGCCTTACATCACAGTAAAATATAAGAAAAATTTAAAAAAAAATTTTATATTATAATTTCCAAGAAATAACATGTTTTGTACAAAAAAGACATCTTCTTTATTTTCATGCGGTAACATGCATAAATGAAATCCCAAGATAAGTCCCAACCCTCATTTTAGGCATAAGTTTAGATGGAATCTTGTGAGAATCAAATGAGATAATATATGAAAAGCTCTTTGCAGAGGTAGCTCGCTCAATGGAAATGATGCATTCCTGCAAAGTTGGTCCAAAGAGATCAAAGAAAGTGGAAAAGGTTCTATATGTACAAAAGTATTTACGGCAGCCTTTTGCAACAGCAAAGAATTATAAACTAAGGAGGGGTCCATCAGTTAGAGAATGGTCAAACAAACTTGGTATAGAAATATGATGGAATATTATTTTATTGTAAGAAATTATGAAAGAGATAGTTTCAGAGAAACATGGAAAGATATTTTATAAACTGACGCACAGTGAAAAAAGCAGTCACAAGAACAACGTGTACTATAACAATCACACTATGACAAATAAACAATTTTGAAGGAATTCTTTTAAGAACCCTGATCAACAAAATGGTCAATTGTGATTCTAGAGGACTGCTTATAAAGGATACAACCCACCTCCTCACAAAGAGATGATGGAATAAACATGTAGAAAGGTATATTTTGGGGCATTAAGTATATAGGAATTTCTTTTGTGTGAATATTTATATTTTGTTAGGAGTTGTTTTTTTTTTCCCCTGGGTTAAAGGAGATAGGAGAAAGAAAATACTTGAAATAACTGAAATAATCAATTTTAAAAGTTGACTTTAAAATTAATTTCAGTTAACAGAATCATATTTTTCCATTAACAACAATAAAAAATTTTAGATGCAGTCTCCTGGGGTTAGTTCTATATGAAACGATGAAAAAGAGGATGGGGAAAGAAAGAAAAACAGACACCAACAGACAGAAATTTGTTTATGTGTATCTGAATGGTGTGTGTGTGAGTGTGTGTGTGTGAGAGAGTGAGAGAGAGAGAGAGAGAGAGAGGTTTTGACTGAGCAGTTTAGTTTCTTGGTTTTAAGCATAATACAGAATGTCTCTAACCTAATTATGTGCAGTATAAAAATAACTCACTTATCTGGCCTGAAAAAAGAATTATCTACAAAATAGCTCTGAACTCTGAAGTAAGCTAGATCTTGCATTTTATTCTGCTAAACTGACCTGGAGCCACCCTCTGGACTGAATTATCTGAAATTAAGATTGAAAAAGAGTTCTGAAGTGGAAGGGGTAGGATTGGCTGCTAGATGATAAAAGCCAGAAAACAGCTAATAGGTTGAGTGAAAATTTAACAGACCACCAAAAACAAAACAAATAGTTCTACACACCTCAACAACCACTCTTCCTCCTCCCATACACAACACCTTCATACAGCAGGCTCCAATAGTCATTATTCATGGTGAATATTTACATTCAGTATTTAAAAAAGGTAAATTATATTCTCTACACTCTCTTTAAGAAGGCAGGTAATTACATAATACAGTTTAGGGAGATTTCTAGCAAAAAAAATTGGTTTAGGTTAAAAAAAATATTAAATTTATCTGGAAAATTCAGCTATGTAGAATACTCCCTCCTCCAAATAAGTGAACAGTTATTTCTACTTCCTTTTAAATGGCTTGATTTCTATGCTAAAAGTTTTTGAAAATATAAACCTGATCAAGGAACAACCAGACCTCAAAAGAAGTAATTACTGAAATGATACCTACTTAGATGGTGGTCTCTAAGAGAGAACCCCAGGACTCAGCCCTTAGCCCTGTTCTGATCCATATTTTGATGATTTCTCTCATTTCTCACCTGGTTGCACTACTGTGGGATTTCTCTGAATTTTCCACCGTGCCCCAAGAAGTTCATTATTGGGAAAAAAAGTCTTATCCTGTAATCATCCCATCACCAAAATCCCACTGGGATGCCACTTCATCACCACCCTCAGTCCTTTTGATGGGTAAGTGGAGCCATGAACACCAAAACCTACATTTAAGGAGGGAGCCCAGGTCAGAACATCTCATTTCTCAACTGGCTGAACTTTTTGGGGACTTCTCTATCTTCTCCTCCATACTCCCACATTGGGTAACTTCCCTTTTTCAGCTTACTTTTTGTCTTGCCCCATTAGATTGTATCTACAATGCTTGGAACATAGTAAGCACTTAATGTTTTATCTAGCTATCTTGCTAAAAAGGGGGCTTAAGGTGAAAGATTATTTATTTTCTGGATGTGTCTAATTTATGATGTTGATGAGATTTGAAATATCCAATAGAGAGCTGGTGATGTAGAACTAGAGATAAGTTCAAATTCAAACTTGTAATCTGAAATATCCAATAAGGAGTTGGTGATATAGAACTAGAGATAAGGAAAGAAACTGGAGCTGTTTACAGAACCACAAGCTATCTGTTCAGATATGAAAATTAAACCCATGGAACCTAATGAGGTCATCAAGTGAGACAGTACAGAGAGGGAAGAGAGCCAAAAATAAATCCTTTGGGCACACTCAAGGATATGGGTGTGAAATGGATGATGCAAAGAAGATTGAGAACAACCAGAAGGAAAGAGTAGAGTCATGAAAACCTTAAAAAGAGAGATCATCTGGGAGAAGATAATCCAGCATGCCAGGCTCTACAGAGTGAATAACAAAAGTACACAGAACTCCTGGGGTCCCAGGCTCTTGACCTTCCACTCTTTCCTGTTGAGATGAAGACTCTTGAATTAGGCAGTTCAGCTTTATGATTCTTTTCTTTCTGTATTTAACATACAGGAAAGTCAATATTTCTGCTGTCTCTCTGTTTCATTTCCCTTCTGGATGATGGAGCAACAGGGAACATCCTGGCTCCTTCACTTTTTCTCTGCAAATACACAGAAAACCATTCTTCTAGTGAGTAACAGAGAAACTAAAAGACTTATTCTCAATTTTTTTGTTTGTTTGTCTCTCTCTGGTAGGAGTTAGGAGATCTGAATGACTTTAGGACTAGCATAAGCCCAGCTAAACCCAGGATAGGTATCCACTTCAATCCTCCTTTCAGAAACAATTCTTTATTTCATATTTTCAGGATTATTTTAAGGGTTCTAATTTCTACAGTAATCATTTTTATAGATTTGCACATTTGTACTGAGCTAGGAATTTCTCTTTGATGGTCCATGCCTTTCATTAAC